TGCTTCTTCGTGTCTAGCCCCAGTGAGGAAGGAAGGCATTGGTGACAAACGTGGTGGTGGTGTGAGCACGCGAGAGACCACGGGAGAGCTGGTCCACACCCCTGAGCTACAGACTGAGCTTCATGAGAGGCTTAGGGATGTGTTTCGGGACGTTGTCCTTCTGGTGTGACGTTCTGCGGGGTTGTTGGAAAAGTCATGACATGTTTTTGCATAGAAAAAATACATACTGAGTTTTCTGACAGCCCAGTGGTTCTTGTCGCAGTACCTGTTCCACGCACAGGCCTGGCATGATTTTCAAGTTGTCAGGCCCAGGATTCGAACCAGGACTCGCAGTGACCAGCTCGCAGCACCTCTCATCCCCCCTATGTGTACAGCGCCCACGTTCTGAAGACATTCTCCCTGCACCCCTTTCAGATTTGAGTCCTGCTACTAACTCGATTCGGCTTCACGGTTCGGATGGCTCACAAAGACCATCTGATGAGCACGTGCCCCGCTTTATGAGGCAGATGTCACTGACCAGCAGAGAGTGGCCCGCCCTGGGAGCCGCTGTCCACACATAATCTGGTGTGATGTGCTGAGGACAGGGGCTGTGTTATTTAAGACATGGCCCTGTATGCCTAAATCACAGGTCAGCGGGCAGAGCAGCTCCCTGCAGAGAGGCTGAGGGCAGAGCAGGCTCTGGGTGGGCAAGTCCCGCACTCTGTGTAGGACAACAGGATGGTGTATCTAACACCTTCCTCCTAACTTACAGAACACCCAACTTGTCTGCGAAGAAACTGCAGTCACTTCTGAGCAGAAGGACTAAAGCCTGCATACAATTATGCTGATGGATGCAATCTAATGCTCCAGCCTGCTGGTTAGCTTTGTGTAGTCCTGCTAATGGTTAATTTTCTATGTCCTCTTGACTGGGTTAAGGGATACCCTGCTAACACATGGGTTTTGGGTGAGACCAGCAGTTAGCGTAATGGCTATATCGCTTAACTCCCATGTAGTCGACCACGGTTCGCGTCCCGGACCCAGTGGCTTAAACTCACGCCGGGCATGTGTGCGTGCATGCCCAAGATCCAGAGAGGAGAATGGAGGAGAAAGGACTGTAGCGTGACCATCCCTCTGGGGGGTGATTTCTCACTTTCTATCTGTCTCTTTTTGTCTTTCTGGTGTGCAAGCACATGCGCCCTATAGCAAAAACCTCTCAAAATAAATAAATAAATAAATAAGCACCATGGGGTTTGGGTGTGCTGTGAGAGCACCCCCTTAGTACTCTCATATGCTTTTGTTGCTGTTTTGTCACTGAGTCAGTGCACTTGCCAGAGAGACAGTGAGAGGGAAGCGAGCAATCACTCCCAGGGTGAATGGCCACACTGTAATCCTTTCTCTGTTCTCCTGGTGTTTTGGGCACACACACATGCCCTGCATTATTTTCAAGCTGTCAGGTCCAAGACCCAAACCATAGTCGACCATGTGGGAGTCTAGTACCTTAACCACCACGATACCTCCTGGCTCCAATCATTCGCTTTTATAAAGAGAGATTTTTTTGCTATAGGGCATGCGCATTCATAGGAGAGACCGAAAGAGAACATGAGAAATCATCCCCTGGAGGGGATGGCCACACTGTAATCCCTTCTCCATCATTCTCCTCTTGGGATTTTGGGCACACATGCATGAGTTTCAAGGTGTCAGGTCTGGGACTCAAACTGTGGCCAGCCATGTGGGAGTGCAGTGCTTTAACCACCATGTCACCCGCTGGATCCTCTTGTTGGCTTTGGAATGAGCAAACTAAATATAGAAGATCCACCCTCACTCATCTGAGGACGCACCGTCCAACCCATGAAGGACCCTGACACAACACAAAGGCCCAGGAAGGGTGGATTCTCTTTCTCCCCTTGAGCTCCTCTTTCTGGACCTTGAACTCCTGGTTCTCAGGCCTTTGGACTCCAGGACTTAGATTTATTCTTCTCTCCCTGCCTCCCATCTCAGTTTTCAGGCTTTGGACTGGGGTTACACCAAAGGCCGCCCTATGTCTTTGGGCTCAGGCAGAACTCAGCCAGCAGCTTTCCTGTTTCTCTAGTGTGCAGATGGCATAGGGCAGGCCTTCCAGCCTCCAGAATCTCATGAACCAGTCCCTGTTCTAAGCCTCTAATGTCTCTATGTATTTCCTGCTGCTTCCATTTCTCTGGAGATCCCCGAGTAATGCACAAAGATTTTCATTCAGTTCTTTTTTTTCCCTCCTCATTAAACAAAGGTTCTTAAAGTAACCGGCAATTTTCGTTCTCCTACTGAGTACTACGTGGGATGCACTGGGTACTGCCCTGGTGATCCTTACCAGATGACAAGAAACACTTTGCCATGTGATTGCAAAGGACAAATATTATTAATCGTTGATTCTTTCTCACAGAAGCTGCATCATTCTTTGCAAATTAGATTTGGTTTCTAAAAGTAAATGATCCTTGGTTGCTATGCAAATCAAATAGACCTAGATCCTTTAAGAGTTTAAAAAGGAAATGTGTTCGGTCACACTGAACAATGTCATGGTCTGTTTTCCATGCTTGGGGCTTCTCACTCTGCTGTCTCTGAGCCGTGAACTCAGGGAGGTTCGAGCAGGCCTGGGAGGGTGCCTGCTCTCAGGAAGCAGAGGGAAGCTTCCTTCTGGAGCTGAGCGGTGACCACGGGGTCTACTCCCCACCTCCATTCCACCCTAACTCAGGAGTGATGGGAACAGAGAATCCATCTTGCCAGGTTAACCAGGAAGGGGGCCAAAAACCTGAGCTGGCCCATGAGACAGGAGGCATTTTGCTGAGGCCAGAGTCCCAGGGGGAGACTCTGTTTCTGAACACTGCCGCACGTGCTACTCGGCGAGGGTTGCTGTGATGAAGATTCATGGGCTAGGTAGTTTAAACCACAGAATTTATTTTTGCCCCATTCTGGAGACTAGTCAAGATTTCATCCAGGCTGGTTTTCTCAGAGGCCTCCATGGCTTGTAGATGGCAGCCTTCCTCTGCACATCGCACGGTCTTCCATCTGGCTGTCCGTGTCCTCATCGCCTTCCTTCTTACAAGGAGATTAGAATCTGCCTCAATGACTTCATTTTTACCTTAGTTTCCTCTTTAAAGACCTCTCTTCAAATATAGTCATATTTCGATGCACTGGGGGTTAAAAATAAATTTTGGGGGACTATATTTCAGCCCCTAATACCATGCCTGATGTGATGGCTGGAGCTGCTGCAACCATTTTGCAGCTGCCTGAGGATGAGTCCAACACAACAACACATGAGGGGGCTGAGTAAGAGGACAGAGATGCAGAACCAGGGGCCTGAGGTGCCTGCACTGCTGAATCTCCTGTCAAGTTAAATGACATGTCTTTGTGTTTGTTAATCAAGTTTGAGTCAGGTTTTCAAAGCCATCCGAATGGAGAGAGATATGCCAGAAGTGAAAATGTAAGCAATCGGCATTTATAAGGCTCCTCTGAGGGAAGAAGGAGCACATCTTGTTCCTGCTG